GGGACGAGGAGTTGGGCGTGTGCCCTCAGAGGGCACCAGAGGACGACTTAGAGGGACGGTACGTGTGCCAGGATGGTGAGCAGCCAGGAGCCACGGGGAGGGACACTGACCCACAGGAGACACTGAGGCTGGCCTGGCCCCAGGGCTCCTAAGCCCACCCAGGAAGCCCTGCTGTCGCCGTGCCCTCGCCCGCGGCTCTCCGGCACAGGCACTGAGGACGGCCAGGAGCTGGGGGGCCTGCTCTCTGGGGATCAGGGCGGCCCCCCAGCCCGGCTGCCCTGTGCTCCACTCAGGACGGGGCATTCCCCTGCACCGTGCCTCAGCACCCCACACAGACTTCAAGCAGCTCCGGCACCTGCCCAGGCCTGTCTGGCCGCCGTGGGCACCAGGGGAGGCGCTGGGCTCGGGGCAGGGGTCCCAGCCTGGGCCCCTCATGGAACAGGGCTGTGCCCAGGACGGGCAGCTTGGGGTCCGTACAGGAGACACGGGGCCAGGCTAGGACTGGGTACAGGGATCCCTCTGGCCCCTCCCTGGGCCTGAAAGGGTCCTGAGTCCTGACCTGAAGTCACTCGGAGCCAGGCTTTGGGGGAACAGTGGCAGCCTCTCGCACACACAGCCCAGGGCACGGCAGACCTGACGCGCTGGGGCCCCGAGCCAGCCTGTCTTCTGCAGCGTCCTCACCAGTGCCCGCCGCAGCTGTGGGCACCATGGTCCACACAGGTGTGCTCACACACCCACTGACCCCTCCTCCTGGCTCTGTGCCCTGGGTCCCTCCAGGCAGGCCTGTGACCACAGACCTGCACTGTCCCTAGTTAGCATCAGCATCAGAGCCACTGTGGGGCCACAGTCCACCAACAGACAACCCATCTAGTTTCCCTGGCTTTGCCGCTTATGAACAGGACGTCTGTCCACCCTTCCTGGGGACCTTGCCCATTTGGGGCAGCTGGTATCTCCCTGATTGGGACCTGTTGGGGGAGTCTCCTTGGGCTGGCCAGCAGTACAGCTGGGTCATCCTCTGGGCACACCCTGGTGCTCAGAAGTGGCCCTCCTGGCTGGGGCTGGAGGGGCTGGTCCAAAACAGCTGAAGAGCTGGCCTCCACCTGAAGGCTGGCAGGAGCCAGGCAGGATGGCGGGTGTCTGTCCAAACAAGTTCCAAATCCCAAGTGGTGGCACCCAAGGCAGGCTGAGTGGGGAGGCAGCCAGGTGTCTCTAGGGCCCAGGCTGCCAAAGCCCACTTCAGGCCTCCAGGCTCAACGGCTTCTAGAAAACACGGAGCCAGGGACAGGGCAGGCTGAGCTGCTTTACTGGGCAGCGGTTAGTGCCAAAGGCCTTGGGGTTAATCAGCCTGAGCCCCAAGAAAGTTACGTGGCTTCTCGGGGCCTTGATTCCCTCATATGTGAAATGGGTCTGTACAGGCCCTCTCTGCAACATGATGATCAGACAGTGTGCAGAAGACAGGCATGGTGAGTGCTGTCAGCTTCGGGACACTGCTACCCGAGAGGGCTGGAACCGGCCTCCTCAGGCCTCTGGGGTGAGCGGGGACAGGGCCTGAGGCTGCCTGCTCCTCTCCTGGCAGCCTTGGGACAATTGTGGCTGTTCGCATTCTCGTGAGTGATGAGAAGGGACCCAGGAGGCTGGGCAGAGGGCCCCACTTGGGGGGACAGGCAGCCTGTCCTGTGCAGGTGACCCTATTGAGTGGCAGTTCCCTGGTGCCCCAAAGCCTGGTCCTCAGGCTGGGCCCGATGAACAGCTTCCTGTGGCAGAGCGGAAACTCGGGACTACCTTGGAGACCCCTGCTGAGCCACATGGTGGCTTCTGTGCCTGGAAAGGACAGGGCACAGAGAACCTTCTCATCTGGGGAGGGGCAATGGGCCAGGTAGCTTGAGTGGCACCCTCCGCTCAACTAAGGAGCAGATGTGGGTGGCTTCTGGGACTAGCCAGAACCACCTCTCTGGAACGTGGGATCCTCCCCTCAAAATCTGTGCTGCCATCCTGGCTCTGGCTGCACAGTCCATTCCTGCTGAGGGCCAGGGTGGGGTGAGGTTCCTGTGCAGGCCCAGGGCTGGGGGAGCCCCTCAAGCTGGCAGGCAGGTGGCCCTCCCAGAGCAGGGGAGTCACAGGACAGCTGCAAGCCCCCTCTGACCTCCAATCCCAATACTGGACCTCTGGGCCCACCCTCCTCTGCCAACAAGGCTGCATGCGCTCCAAGTCACCCTCCACCCACCCTACCCACCCCAGCACGGATCCAGCCCACAGGGGTCTTCTGAGAACCCACTTAGGGCCAGCAGCCAGGTACCGCTCAGTGGTGACAACAGAGAACCAGACAGTGGCAGTCCCTGCCCCCAGGGACCCCAGTGAATGAGCAGACACAGGACAAGCCACAGAGACAGGAGGCTGGGCAGGTGCTCAGGGAACACCTGTGGCCCGAGACAACCTGCCAGCACAGGTAGAGACCCTGCTGGCCGCGGCCGTGATTCAGCAGGGTTGGCCAGCTCCACCCTCTGGGCAGCACCCGGGCACAGAGGGCTGCCTGCTGCAGTGGCCTTGGCTCGGCTGCCACCCCAAGCTTCCTCACAGGCAGCTGTGGTCATCACCGCCTGGCCAGGCTGTCCAGCAAAGTACACCATACCTCCCACAGAGCCCAGTTCCTCACGGTGTCCCCTTCTCAGCTGGGAGGCCACCGATGGGCATGGGCTGCTCTCCTCCTTCTAACCTTGGGGAGGTGTTGGGTGCCCCTCCAAAGGCTGGGACACCTGAGCCCAGTGGGAACACCAGCAGGCCTCCGGCTTCAGGCCCACAACCTCCGAGGAGAGACCTCTTCCCCAGTAAGGCGCTGGCCCCCAGGATCCAGGGCACCCGGGAGGACCCTGCCACCAGGAGCCACCAGGGGGCGCCCGGTCCTAGGAGGCTGAGCCTGGTGGCACAGAGCAGGAGGGGATGTGGGCTTGGCTGTCCCTAGGACTGCCACTCCCCTGGGAGGTCACCCTGTTCCCCTCGACTCACATGGCACCTACAGTCTCTCCACTGTCCTGTGCCTGGCGGAGTGCTCTCGTCTTTTGGGGACAGTAGCAGGGTACAGTCATGGAGCTTCTGGGGAGAGCGCAGGCCCTCAGAGGTAAACCAGCAGGGAGGAGACAAAAAGCCCAGAGCCCACCCCATCTTACATGCCGCAGGAGGATGCACTTGAACCCAGAGCAGGTTCCAGCCCATGGCCGGTGTGACCCTGGAGACAGTGCAGGCAGCCACATGTCCAGGCTGAGGGACAGCAGCCATCACAGACATCAGGCAATTGCTCTGCATCCCTGACCCACTGCTCCCCATCCCTGGGCAGCCACATTCAGGTCAGTCCACCCCACCTCTCCAGCCTGCCCTCTCTGCCCTTGGCAGCTGCCCACTCTGCCACTCTGTGTCTAACTTTGAACAGCAGCAAGTTCAGGAGACCCTGGGGAGGCGCCAGCTGAGGGGCATGGATGTGTTCACCAGGGCTGTGGCTCGATGGCTTCTCAGGAGAAGACCCTCCAAGCCCCCAGGCTGCGTCAGGGAGCCGCTGCTCAGCCACTGGGGGTGTGTGTGAGGGGGTCCACAGAAAGGCCAGGATGGGAACAAGTTCCCGTGTGGGCAGAGCACTAGCCAACCTGTGCCAGGCCCCTGTGCTGCCAGGCACCCAGGTGTGCCACCTCTCAGACAAACAGAACCAGAGAGGTACAGGAGGCAGACTTGATGATGACAAGCATTGTCTCCAGGAGGAGCACCAGAAGCCTGTCCTGGGGACTGAGAGGGGCCCTGTCCACAGAGTCAGGCTGAGGGGAGGGCTGTGGGTTGTGCCCCTCCTGGGAGGCAGAGCTCCAGAGCCTGGCCGCCTCCACGTGCCATCAGGATGCTCTTATCTCTCATTCAGGATGCCACAGTGTGGTCCACAGTCCCCAGGTCACTACTTGAGTTCAGCCCCTTCAGGGCACATCCTCACCCCCAGGGCCTCCAGAGGACCCTGGCCTGCTCTACCCTGGCCACTGTGCTCCAGAATGCTTCATGGACCTAGGGAGGCTCCTCGTGTTCTTTGAAGCCTGGGATCTGGGCGATCCTGAGCACAGTAGGGTCCCACAGTCCCCAGCTCACATACAATTCTGTCCGCAACGCTTCTCCCGCCGGCAGGGAAGGGAGGGGAAGGGCAGCTGCAGGGATGAGGCCGCCGCCAGGAGGGCCGCTCTTCTTACAAAGAGATGACGAGGCCCCTGGGCGGGATCCAAGGCGCCGACCACCTGCAGCTGGGCTGAGGCTTCGGGCGGCCCCAAGTGCCGCGAGGACCCGTTCGCGGGGGCTGGGCGCCAGCGGGCACAAGTTCCTCGCAGGAATCCCCTGAGAGCCCTGGCCCAGGTCGCACAGAAGCGCACAGCCGGCTCATCACTTCTCCCACCACCACTCAAGAGAGGATCTGCCCACAAAACCCACCTAGGCTGCCGCTGTTGGGGATCCGCGGGAATCCCTGGGCAGGACCACTGACTCTCGCGGCCAGGTCCACAGTGGAGTCTAGTTTTAGATCACGGTCATCTGCGCCCGAAAGCCCCACCGCGCTGAGACCCGGCAGCGCCCAGGCAGCCCGCTCCGCAGCTCCCGCTCGCCCCGTGGCGAGGGTGGCCGGCGCGCTGCCCCAGACGGGGACTGCCGCCCTGCCAGCACACTAGGCCGAGCAGGCTGCTCGGAAGGAGCGCTCCGTGCGGGGGGGCGGCGAGAAGAACTCGGGAAAGGGACCCAGAAGCCTGTTGGGGGTTGGGGGACGACCAGGCCAAGCCGAAGTATGGGGAGAGGACCGTGGGGGTAAAGGCGAGCGGTGGGGGGGCGCTGGGGGTCACTCGGAGCCCAGGAAGCCGAGCGCAGGCGGCGGGCTCCAGCGCCTGGGTCGCGCAGTGCGGACGAGAGGGAGGGCAGGGGGCGCAGAGGAGACCTCTGGTGCTCTGGGGTCCGGGACCCGCAGCTGGGCCCTGCGCCGCTCTCTCACTCACCCGAGATCTCCGCCTGGGGCACGTCGCTCAGGCTGAAGCCCTTGGCCCCGTAGATCTGGCGGACTTCGCTGCAGCTCCGGCTCTTGCTGGCAGGGTCCCCGCAGGCGCAAGCGACGAGCGCGGCGGCCGCGCACAGCAGCCACCAGCCTCGGGCCCGCAGATCCATGGCGGGGCCGGCGGCGCCCCCGGCCGCCCGCGCGCGCCTCTCTCGGATCCCGGCTAGCCCCGCGCAGTCCCCGCCCGGGAAGGGCAGAGCCAAGGTCCTGGCGCGCACCGCTCGCGGTCCTGAGGCGGCGGGGCCGAGAAGGCGGAGACAACAAAAGCCGGCTGGGGCGCGCGGGGCGCGAGGTCCGGCCGCTCGGTCGGGCCGCCCAGAGCGCGGCGGGCGAGCGCGCAGTCCCAGCTCGGCGCCTCCCCCGCCGCCGGCCCGGCCCCTCGGCCGCCGCGGAGAGGGGCGGGGCGGGGCGGGGAGCGCAGGGAGGGAGGAGGGGAGCACCCGGCGGGGCGGGGCGGGGCGCGGCACGGAGGCGCGATCCGGGCGCACGCTGCGCTCCTGGGCTCGGAGGGGACGCGCAGGCCCGTCCTGCCAGCGCAAATCTACTGATCGCTGGGGTGAAGCGGAAAGACCCAGGGAGCGCTAAGGCTGCGTCCCAGGTCCCCGAGGGCAGGCCCCTACACCCAGCGCCCAGGGCGGAGACACCACCTGTGGGGGTGGGGGCGTGGGCGGGGGGGGCCGCTGAGGCAGGGCTTCCCCCGCCGGACGTGACATCACGCCCTCCACGCGCCAATCAGGGTCCTCCCCGCCCCCATCCGAAATCAGCACCCCTCCCGGCTTCCCCCTGCCTAGCTCCACCGGGCTTCACGCACCCGGGCCGAGCGCCGTGCGCGGCGGCTCCCGCAGTGCCCGTTCGCCTCGGCCGCGCTGCGTACCTCCGTCCGCCTCGCGGCACGCGGTGCCAGTCCTGTCTCCCCCGTCCTCTTCATGAGCCTTTCCTCGCCCCAGTTCACACCTGATGCTTTGTGGGGGAGGGTAGGAGCTGTTCGCGGGAAACTGGCCAAGAAACTAGCCCTCCCCGGCTCTTAAGTCTGCGTATCGGCAGTCGTTGGAGGTTGCCCGCGGTGTTTGGTCCCCTCCACGTGACTCTGGATGCTCGAGAAACAAAAGCGATGGGGCAGAGGAGGGTCTGTAGGTTTGGCGGCCGGTGGCGGCCAGTGGCCTCTGGAGAAGGGCTGGGTTGGACCTACAGGTCAGGTTGTGGAGGAGTGAGGGCGGGTGGGCTCCCGCCAGAGTAGGCAGGGCGGGTGGGCTCCCGCCAGAGTAGGCAGTGCCCTTAGCTGTCAGCGGAAAGGGAAGTGGGGGTGCCAAGGCACCCCCCATTAGTGCTGGTATCTGACCGGCTTCTCCATTTCTTCCATGCTGTGGTCTCGGAGACCACCGCGACCTGGGCCAGCCTGTGAACCCATCGCTGGAAGTGGGAGGAGAACACGAAAGTTGGCACCTTTAGTACCCGTAGCTGGGGTTCCCTGCCCCACCCCCAGAGAAGACTGCCCCCTGAGTAGAGAACTGAGTCACTGCTTGAGAGGTAGGTGGTGGAGATCTGCCCTCCCCCCCCCCCCCCCCCCCCCCCCCCCCCCCCCCCCCCCGTCCCGCCTCTGTGTCACTTTTGTGACTTACAGAGCCCTGTGCTGCATGCTCAGGCCAGCTTCTCCCTTCACCTGCCTGAGGCCTGCCTGGCTCCTCCTCCCTCAGCTTCCCAGGCTCCCTGCCTCTCTGAGCTCTCCCACGTGCAGGGGCATCAGGAGGACCCAGCTGGTCTAGGAATCCAGACGGTGAGGGTAACCCCTTGTTCCAGGCTTCCATTTATCCTGATGAGAGAGTGAGTCCTCAGGGCAGGGCAGTGTCCAGGTCATTTCTGGACCTGTGGACAGCAAATCTCAAGGATGTGATGATCCCAGCTATGGTGCTGTCCCAGGTGACCCCTCCCCCAGAACATCCTTAGCACCACCTGCCAGGTTGGCGCCTTCCACCCACAGGTCTCAGGACTGGCCCCCAGACGGTCCCCAGACAGGAAGCACTGCTCATTCTGTGCCCATTCCATCAGGGGGAACAGGCGTAAGAGGAGCACAGGCCTCGTGGAGAATGGCCCTGGGTGAGGAGACCCGAGGGCCACATGTGTGGCTGGTGCAGGACCCCAGCTGCCTTCCCTCCCTGGCTGAGGGTCAGGGCTGTTGCTGTTTTCTCCCTTTGGTCTCCTTGGCGTCGGGTGGCTTCATGATGCTTAGCCTTGACCCGTGAGGGAGTGCCAAGCAGGGCCAGGGCTGGCCCTGGAGAGGAGAAACGGTCCCAGCCACAGGGTGGGCTGGCCTTCAGCTTCATGTCCCCATCTTCCAGGAAGATCAAAGAGAGGTGCTGAGCTCAGAGAGGTGGGGTCCCTGCTGCCCCTATGACCGGCTCTGGATCCACTTCTGGGAAGCCCACTCCTAGAGACCAGAGAAGTCTTGCTTCTCCAGCATGTTCATGACGTCACTGCAGGATGTCCTGTTGTAAGGGTCAGTCCTGGTGGCAGTGGAGTGCACGGGGGTGGGAGCAGTACATCTAGGCAGCTGGGGTCAGAGGGCATGAGGTGCGGTGAGGTCATGGCACTGACCAGCTGGGCACGCAGGAGGTGTGGCGTCCTGGGGGACTGCAGAAGACAGGTCCCCGCACCTTAAAGGGCCGGCAGCCCCTGGGGCAGCAGCCTGAGGGAAGGTGTGTCCAGTGGAGAGGAAGTGGCTCCCAGGAACAGCCCAGTGCCCCTGGGCAGCAGGGCAGCAGGCTGGGACCCCCATATCAGAAACCTTTCTGCAAAGGATGATTGGGATCCTTGCTGGAAGGCCCTGAGCAGGTCTGCAGGGCTTGGCAACAGGAGGAGAGGCTGCCCAGGGGTCTTTGCTGGCCTCTGAGGACACAGCCTCCAGGTGCCGGGGCGCTCTCCACCTCCTTTTCACGCTTGGGAAACACAGTGATAGGCCATCTGTGGTCCCTCCAAGGGACCTCAGCCCAACACAGCTCCTCAGGGTGGCTCCTGTGTGGATTCTGGGAAGTGGAGACTGGTCCCTGCCAGCTGGAACACTTAGTAGGTCTCTGAAATGTCCCAGTCCTGGGCCAGGCCCCCAGTTCAGAGAAGCTGGGTTTGAAGTCTAAACTCTGGGGCGCACTGATGAGTGGGCGTGGGATGCCCCAGGGTTCTCAGGACACAGAACATGGAGGCCACTCTTCTCGAGGGTGGTCCTGCGCCCCCCTCCAAACCCTTGCCCCAAGGCACTCAACTCCAAGGCAGAGTGCATTGGCAGCCGCTCTGCTCTGCTGAGTCCTGAGACCCTTTGATCAGCTGAAGTCTGGGCCAGTCTTCAGGGAAGGTCGGCTCAGAGAGGGCTGGGCCACCCACACGGGCCGCCTTTGTCCTCTCTGGGCCTGACGCCTGTCTCTCTGGTCTGAGCACCCTGGCAACAGGAGCTGACCCCACACAGCCATGCCAGCTGGGCGCAGCATCCCTGGGCTGTTTTTCTGCCCCCTGGTTCTGGCCCTGGACCATATCCTGGGGAGGAAGAGGAAGCCTGAGTGTTGGGCTGAACTCTGCACACGACTTCCCGGCACAGACGGGTAGGCTGCCCCCATGGACACTGAGAGACCCGCTCCGCGGTCTGCTCTTCATCCTGGGAGCTTCTGCTGGCCCTCTGTCCCCCTCTTCCCGCCTGGACTTTTGCCGGCTCCGGTCTTTTTCTTCTGCGATCCATGTGACCTGCATGATCTTTCTAACCAACTTCCGTCCAAGCCAGCAGGGACCTGCCTGTGGATGAGGCAGGATCCCTGACCTGCATGTGAGCAGCCTGCCCAGGCGGAGAGGACCGTTCCCCTGCCTGACTCCCCTTCCAGCCTCTGCCTACACCTTTCCCTCAGATACGGATGACCTGAGGCTGCTTCCGGCTCCGCAAGTTTGGAGTCCAAGGGTTTGTGCAGACAGGGCTCCTGACCTTGAGGGGCCTGAAGGTCTTCCTGGGCCCTTGGTGGATGGGCCAGCCTGTCAGCAGGCCTGGCCTCAGGGTTACTCTGTCCCCCAAACAGGGAGCAATTTCCAGAACAAGGCCAATTGGAAAGGTCCTCTGCTGTGCTCTAAGTGAAAGGACCCCCCTTTGAAGTGCTGGCCCTGAAGGACAGGTGCTGTTGGGGCACTAGCCCACCTACCCACCCCCCCAACCCCAGGATAGGGTCCAGCACGAGGCCCGTGGGAGCTGGCTGCTGCTGGCTCTGGGAGCCCTCTGTCTGTCATCCCCAGTTTTGCAGTTCAGGTTTGCATTGATGGGCTCCCGGTTCTCTGTGTGCTTCCTGTGCCTGCTAGAGGTGCCCCCACCCCACAAGACCAGAGTCCAGTGAGCTGGACTGTGTTGCCACCTAGCCTCCCTCTACCCCGCTCTCTTGCCCTGTGTCGTCAGAGCTCCTGCAGGGCGTGCACCCCATTCACCTCATGCACCAAGATGCCAAAATGCCTGGCAGGTGGCCACTGGACAAAGACCACACACTGCCCTGAGTGCTGGGGGAAGGAGAGCCCCTCCCTGTGGCTGTACGGATGGTGCTACTCCTGCTGAAGTTGCAAAGGGGTGCTGGGCTGGCATGGCCGGGGTCTTCCCCCAGAAAGGCCACTGCAGGAGGAGCGGAGCTGGAGCCAGGGTGGGGGCCAGGCAGGGACTCCCCTGTCAGTCAGCCACAGGGGAGCAGAGAACCAAAGTGGGCACTGCCCCTGCTCTGAGTTCGGGAGCCCAGGCCTGGTAGCGGGGGAGCTGAGGCCTTGGTGGCCCTGGCTGGCAGCCCACAGGCTGGAAGGGCCACTGCCCACCTGGCTGAGGCGGACCAGGTTCACATTGGGTCCAGGCTGGCCCACAAGGCTGGCCCGACCAGCTGTGCTGTGTGACACTGGCCTGGGTGGGGGATCACTGGGCAGAGCCTTTTCCTGAGGGTGGATGCTGCCAGGGCCCAGGGAGCAGGAGGCTGAGTCCCCAGGAGGGAGGCCCTGGCAGGCTGTGGCCCCTGGAGGGAGGCTGGGCTCTCCATGCCTCCCTGTGAGCCGTGGCACCCGCTTGGCCTGAACCAGGACTCTGCGGTTCTCAGGCCACAGCCCCGAGGGGAAGGGGAGCCACTGAGGCCTGAGGAAGGAAGGCGTGAAGCCTTCTCCAGGGACAGGAACAGGTTGCCTGGTCACCGGGAGGGGAAGGGGCAGTTGGTCTCATCCCATCCTGCAGCACAGTGGGACCAGAGGTGAAGGGAGGCCTGGCCTTTGCCATTGTTTACGGGCAGCTTCAGGCCAGGAGTGGGTCAGAGGAGCAGGTCCGGAGCAAGACACAGCTGAGGAACTGGGC